AAAAAAAAAAAAAAAGGTACAAACTCATGTTGTGATTTCACTACCTTTGACTAGTGTGCTTAATGTTCTGTACACCGGCAGCCAAGAAATCTTCTCCATCTGTGAAAATAATAAATACAAAACATGTCGCTATTCCTGTTCTGCGTAGACACAGTTGATTTAAGGACTGTTGAGAAAATGGAGGTGTCACCAAAATCATTACATTGTGTGATGGGTGACTCATAAATATAAGTGAGCATTTGTACGAAAGTGGTAATTTTGGACCGTGTATCTGAAATACTCAATTATTTGCAGCAAAGAAAAAGAAAACATGTGAAACAGGATGTTCATACTTGTTTCCAACACTGCTGAAATAGCAAAGAAAACAAGGTCTTTTGTTGAATTTAGTCTCCACATAACAGACGTTGTACTACTTAGTGATTCTATGTATAATATGATAATATTTTCTTTCTTCACTTTCAAATACAGAGCAAAATTGAGGGCTGACAAAACCTAGCAGAGACGATGACAAATAACGCAGACAAATACAATGGCTTGTTGAAAGCTCTGGGTTTCCCACCCCTCCCCTTACTAAAACACAGAAGTGGAACAAACAACTTCTTTTATCGATGCCCCACACACTGTCACACAAGACGGCCGCTTCAGGTCTGAATACACTGATGTACTCATAAATACTGTAAATATAAATCATGCACACACACTCACACTTGATCAACTTGTCCTCTTCAGAAATGCTAGATTTACAAAATGATTTATATCGGCTGATAGTGACTCATGTTCCCAGCATTGTGGACGAAATGTGTCGAAGACCTTCTGAACTGATGGAAAAAGAAAAAAACAATAAAGATGTGGGGATTTGAATGGGTGAAATGACAAAGTAACTGTGAGAAAGTGCAGTGTTTATTGATCAGGTGTGGATACAACTAAATGCTTTACAATGAATGCTCTTTTGCTGTGTTTTGGGAATTTTGTTACACTGATTCTTATGAGACGTGATGAAGAAGGCTGTGTTCAGACATTAGCACAATGTGAAAAAAAACCCTCTCATTCATTTGAATGGGGTCACTGCATTGTTGTGGGGGTTGCCCAAGCAGAAACACATGGGGGG